AAAAAAAAAAAAAAAAGACTGCAATAATGCGTAGTAAACCTGTTGAGTAATATACGATACACACATGAGGAGAATTACAGGAGTTTACCGAAGATTGCAAAACTGCATTAGTGGGAAACGCAGCCCCTCCGCGGGAAGACGCCTGTTGTAAAGATGCCTATGCATATTAACCCGTAAATTCAGGGCTCATCCAAATTAAAACCTTAGCAGGATCTTTCTTAGAACTCCAAAGCTGATTCTAAAATCGGGAAGAAGGACACAGATGCCCAGGGACAGCCAAGACTGCACAGGCAGTGATGTCTCCTAGCACAGAGCTGCTCAGGAGCCGCAGGGCACCACCCAGGGGCAGGGGGACCCATGAGCAAGGGAGGACTGCGCCCCTGCAGCTCTGCAGGCTGCGGGAGAAGGAGTGCGCTTCCACAAGTGATCCTGAGACAATCACTGCACTTGAAAAGAAAATGTCTAGAAAGGTCATGCCATGTCAAAACCATGCATCTCTGTAAAAACCTAAATGTAAGAAAGAAAAGGTATTAGGCAGAAATAAGGAAAACTTTTATTACCTCGGCAAAGGGATGTCTCCTTAAATATGACATGAAAACTGTCATTCTCTACTCTGGGGTAGGGTTTTTCCCAGTAATGCATGGTTGGTTTAATACCAAGAATAATATTCAGTAATGTGCTGTTGTGAGAAAAGACCATAAACATCAGGAGCTGCTCGAAGGGTATGGAGATAAAATTCTAGGCTTTCCTAATCACAACTCTACATAAAGTAAAAATAGGAGAAATTATTGATGTGATAAAGACTATTTGTTTCAAACTAATTCATTCATTTCTCTTTTTTTTGTTTGTTTTTTGTGTTTTTTTTTCAGGTACGGGGAATCAAACTCATGACCTTGCTCTTGCCAGGCAGGCGCTGTGCCGCTGAGCTAAATCCCCAGCCCCCATCATTCATTTCTTTTGAGGCAGGATCTTGCTATGCAATCCAAACCTGCCTCAAACTCACTACCTAGCTCAGGCTGGTCTCTAGCTCTCAATCCTCCTGTCTCAGCCTCCTGAGTGCTGGGATTACAGGCATGGCTACCAGTGCCAGCTTCCAAACTACTTTCTCAATAGTTAAGTGCTAAACCCACTTCCTGTAAGATCAGAAACAAATCAGCATACTCATTATCATCATCACTTTTCAACTTTGTTTTAGAAATTCTAGAGACTGTACTATGGTAGACGTAAGAGAGTTGGTATAAATACAAATAAAATGGGCATGGTGGCACATACTTAAAATCCCAGCACTCTAGGAGCCTGAGGCAGGAGGATCACAAGTTCACGCCCAGCCTGGGCAACTTAGCAATTTAGTGAGACTGTCTCCAAAATTTTTTTAAAAGGCCTGGAGGTATAGCTCAGTATGAAGACCCTGGGTTCAATTCCCAGTACCACAACAACAAAAAACATAGATATAGATATACGAGGGGCTGGGGATATAGCTCAGTGGCACAGCGCCTACCTGGCAAGCACCAGGTTCTGAGTTCAATTTCCAGTACCCCCCCTCCCCAAAAAGAGAGATAGATGTATGAGAAGGTAAACATTTTTCTCTTTCCTAGTATATAATTGTGTACTTAGAAAATCTAGGAAAAGCTGGGCATGGTGGCACATGCCTATAATCCCAGCACTCTGGAGACTGAGGCAGGAGGATTGTGAGTTTGAGGCCAACCTGGACTACATAGCAAGACCCTGTCTCAAAAAACCAAAAACAAAAATACAAAACCCCAGATTTAAAAATTTTTTTAAAATTTTAAAAGCAAAGAAACCCTAATTTTAAAAAATTGGAATTAAGTAGGGGAATTAAAGGTGATAGATACAAGACACATATGTAAAAATCAGTCGTGCTTCTCTATGCCAGCAATGAGCAGCCAGAAGTGGAAATGGAGAAGGCGTTCCATTGATGAAAGCAATTAAATCCATAAAATATTTGGGAGTTACATTAAAAGGACAATTAGGGAACCTACCGAAAAAAGTAGGAAACTATAAAATCTTGAGGGACATAAAAAAATCTGAACAAATAGGCAATGGTTGTGTTCTTGCCTACAAGGTTTAATTTAATACAATAAATATGTAAATTTACTGCCTTCCCAGCTGTGATCCCAGTGCGGCCGGGGGCTGCTGGTTCCAGCACTGCAGCAGACAGAAAGTGATCAGTTCCACCCCAGCCGGCTGCTCTGCTCCGGGCCTCTGACAGGCTGGCACAGTTTCGAAGGCCAGGGCCCAATGAATGTCTGAGTAGCCGGGGTGGCCTTAGCGAGGGGTTGTCGCCTCCCCCAGCCGGTGCTGGAAGTGGCCTGATGGGCTCACACCTTGGAGGGAAAGCAGACAGCAGCTCAGGGATGCTGGGAGCCAGGATGGGGCTGAAAGTCCGGAGGCTGTTGTATCAGGAAGGCTGCCGGTGCCACACGCTTAGTCCCACGGGGAGGGGCGGCCCAGACCTCAGGTGCTAGAGTCCCGGTCCCTTGGACCTTACCTCCAGCCCATGTCTGCAGGTGTTGCCATGGTGACAGCGGCCGAGGACAGCGTGGTCCGGGTGGTGGTGCGGGTGCGGCCCCCCACGCCTCGGGAGCTAGAGGTCCAGCGTCCACCTGTGGTCCAGGTGGTAGACGACCGGGTGCTGGTGTTCGACCCCGAGGAGCCCACCGGGGGCCTCCCTGCCCTCAACTGGGGTAGCACCCACAGTGGCCCAAAGAGGAAGAGCAAAGGTCTGACGTTCATCTTCGACCGGGTCTTCGGGGAGGGGGCCACACAGCAGGACGTGTTTCGGCACACCACCCACGGCCTCCTGGACAGCTTCCTGCAGGGCTACAACTGCTCGGGTGAGGAAGGGAGGAGGAGCGACTGGTGCCTGGGATGGAGACACAGGGCTGGCATGGGGCCGGTGGGAGCAGTGGGTGGGATGTGCACGGCACAGGAGGAAGGCCCATGGCAGCCTCCCCCTGGACCCTCTAGTGTTTGCCTATGGGGCCACCGGGGCCGGGAAGACGCACACCATGCTGGGGCGGCATGGGGACCCTGGCATCATGTGTCTGACCACCATGGAGCTGTACCAGCGCCTGGAGGCCCTGCGGGAAGAGAAGCAGTTCGAGGTGCTGGTCAGCTACCTGGAGGTGAGGCCAGTCTGAGTGGGGGTGGAGTGGGACGTCGAGAGGGGAACCCACCCTCCCCGCTCTGCCACCATGCCCAGGTCCCAGGCACTCACGGGCCCCAGCCTGTGCCGGGCAGCACCCAAGGCCATCACCTTCTCCCCAGGTCTACAACGAGCAGATCCACGACCTCCTGGAGCCCAAGGGGCCCCTGAACATCCGCGAGGACTCTGACAAGAGTGTGGTGGTGCAGGGCCTGTCCTTCCACCAGGTTCGGCCTGGACACTGAGGGGAGCAGGGTGGGGTGGTGGTGGCTCTGACCTGCAGCTTCCCTGGGTACCTCCTGCCCCACAGCCCACCTCAGCCGAGCAGCTGCTGGAGATGCTGAGCCGGGGCAACTGCAGCCGCACACAACATCCCACGGACGCCAATGCCACATCCTCCCGCTCCCATGCCATCTTCCAGGTGAACAAGTGCGGCTGAACCCAGGTCCAGTTGTCACATCCCCTGCCCCACTGCCCACCCCTCACCCTCCTGTCCACCCCAGATCTTCGTGAGGCAGCAGGACCGAGTGCCGGGGCCCACGCAGGCCCTTCAGATGGCCAAGATGAGCCTGATTGACCTGGCGGGCTCAGAGCGGGCGTCCAGCACCCACGCCCGGGGTGAGCGGCTGCGGGAGGGAGCCAACATCAACCGCTCCCTGCTGGCCCTCATCAGCGTCCTCAATGCCCTGGCTGATGCCAAGGTAAGGCTATGCCCTGGCTGACACCAAGGTAAGGCTGTCCACTGTCCCCACCTTCCTGTGCCCGAGCCCACGTTGCCCCTCCACCTGGGACCTTGCTCCCACAGGGCCGCAGGGCTCACGTGCCCTACCGGGACAGTAAGCTGACCCGCCTGCTGAAGGACTCCCTGGGGGGCAACTGCCGCACTGTGATGATCGCCCATGTCAGCCCTGCGGCCCTGGCCTACGAGGACACATACAACACCCTCAAGTACGCCGACCGGGCCAAGGAGATCCGGCTCACGGTACATGCTGGGAGAGCAGTCTGGGCAGGGCCACAGCCTGGGAGGGGAAGGGACAGGGCCAAGACAGCATCCCAGGTCCCAGCCAGGGTCCCCGGGCAGAGAGAAGACTCTCCCTGGCTTCCATCTTGGGATCTTTGTGACAGAAGCAACATTGTCCTGACTTTGGGAAGGCTCATGGTGGACAGAGGCAGGCAGCCTCCCGAGGGAGGCCTAGAGGGATGGCACAGCATGGCCAGTAGTGACTCTGGGGTTCAGGCTTGTTTTAGGCAGCAGGACAGTTTCACCAACGCCATGTGAGCACCCACAGGACTCCCTGATGACAGCTTGGGTGGGGGCCTCCCTTCCTCCCTGAGAGCCAGCCCAGTGCGTGCTGCCAGGGTTGGGGCTCCCAGGCGGTCCTTGGCCCAGGCTGTGGCCCCCAGCGCTGCTCCTTGAGGCCACCCAGCTGCTCTCAGTGGACACTGCTGTCCCCTGCCCCTCACAGCTGAAGAGCAACGTGGTCACCCTGGACTGTCACGTCAGCCGCTACGCCGCCGTGTGCCAGCAGCTGCAGGCCGAGGTGAGCAGCCGTCTCCGGGTGGGTGTACCAGAGCCCTTGCTGAGCCCCCGCTCACCACCGCAGGGCTGCTGCCTTTCAGGTGTCTTCCCTGAGGAGGAAGCTGCAGGAGTTGGAGGCGAGAGCACAGGCGCCTCAGCGGTGAGTCCCGGGCCAGGCCCCACACCTGGGACTGGGGTCTCCCCGAAAGGCTATGTCCCAAGGGGTAGGGATCTCCAGCTTGCTCACCAAGAGGAGGTGATGGACCCCTCACCGCGTGGGTGCCCGTGCTGCTTTTTTCACACCTGTTTCTGCAGCCGGTTAAATGTGTCCCCACCCCTCTATTTCTCACTCTGAGACGAGATTCCTAAGTCACTCAGTTGCCCAGGCCGGGCCCAACTCCTGGGCCGCCTGCCTTAGCTCAGGCTGGGGTGATACTGGCCGCCACGCCCAGCTCAGGGTTGCGTTTCTGTCTTCTCAAACCCTTGGCCGCTGTCCTGTCACTCTGCCCTCTGGGGGAACCACAGAGACCCTGCTCCACCCACGTCCGACCTTCAGCTGATCCTCCCCCACTCCCCAGCTCACTCTCACCGCCCAGCCAGTCCTGCACCCCAGAGTCTGGAACCCTTAGAGACCAGAGCCAGGGGACGGAAGCCCAGGAGCCACCAGCCCTGGCAGGGAGCTCTGCAGGCCAAGGGTGGCCCCCACGAAGCTGTAGCCAGGACAGAGGCCCAGCGGAGGTAGGAGAGGCAGGGCAGGGCCGAGGCTTGGCCCGGGAAGAGACAGGCCCCGCCTGCCCCCGGACGCCAGTCCCTGCCAGCTTCTTGTGTGTGGAAGTGAGGGGGCTGGCCACTCGGGGAGGGGATTTGGGGAGGTTGTCCTGCTTCTGCCACCTGTACCTCCTCCTTCCTCCTTAGGTTCCAGGCCAGGTGCCCGAGCCCAACCCCAGACCCTCAGTTCCTGGGATGCCTAGTTTGATCCTGCCGCCCGAGCCAGCCTCGGCACAGCTGTCCCTGAAGAGGCCACGTGGGGAGCACCTTGGGCCGTGGGTGTCTTCTCGCCTGCTGGCTGGTCGGGGTGGGAGGTGGGAGGTGGAGGCTCACTCCTGGAGATGGAGCTGGGGGTTGGGCCCCGTGGGTGGTGCTCCCTGGGGTGCGTCCATCCCCGGGCCGCAGCGTCCTCACCTGCTTCCCACCCCTGTCCTGCTCAGAATCACTCGTCTGTCCCTGTGTACAGGGCCACATCCATACCACTGGCAGTGCTGCTTAGGACACAGGGCTGGCTGTGCAGCTCCTCCCAGTGCCGCCTGCGCCAGGCACTGCCAGCCCTGCGCGTCGGGCAGTGTATTTAAAGCTCCTGGACAGGAGGCTGGTTTAATTTTATTTCTTGTCGGGAGTGTCTGTTCCGACTCAGCAGAAACGCGCGGCCTGAATAATCAGCACTCATTATCCGTCTCTTCTCTGGCTCTCGGACCCCAAGGGCAGGACACAAGTGTGAGCCCTGCCGACCCCGCGGGTGACCCATGGCTCTCCACGACCCCGTCACAGGGGAGGGGACCGCAGCCTTGTTTCCACTCTGCCTGTGGGTGGCCGAGATGTGGGATCATCCCCTCTTTTCCTCTTTCCTGGAGATGACAGGGGATCCTGAGAGCCAGGGGCTGCAGAACATTCCAGAACTTTCCAGATCGTCTCCATACTTGGAAACACACCGACAGCCATATCAAAAATAGTTTCTTTCTGACTTCAGAATCTTGGACTCTGAGGCCCTTGAGCAGATCTGACATCTTCCAGCTCAGTGATTTTTCATTTTTTTTTTTCCAGCTTCAAAGTCTACTCTGGGTGGGGAATCTCACGCTGAGCTCTTACCCGGAAAGACGAAACAGCCTCTCTGTTGAATGCATGCTGGGAACCTATTTTGAAGACCTCTGGTTTTTTTTTCTTATTTATTTTTAAATTTTTATTTATTTATGTTGATCTTTTTGAGACAGGGTCTCCCTATATAATCCAAGGTGGGCTTCCACTTACTATGTAGCCCAGGCTTGCCTCGAACTCTGGGCAACCCTCCTGCCTCAGCTTTCTGAGTGTTAGGATTACAGGCATGCTCTACCACGCCCGGTGTTTTTTTTTTACTTTTTATACTAGGGATTGAACCCAGAGGATTCACAGAGTGGCATCCTCAACCCTTTTTTAAAAAAAATTTTAATACAGTATCACTCACTAAGATACCCAGGGTGAGCTCAAACTTAGAATCTTCCTGTATTAGCCTCCCAGAGTGCTAGGATGACAGGTATGCACCACCAGGCTTGGCTTGAGCTAGGACTTCAACTTCTGCCTTACACTGCCCCAAGGGTAAATGAATTTAGGATCGCAGCACTAGTGAGTGGCAGAGCTGGGAGGAAACTCCGACCTTGCAGAACAAGCTTACAAAGCTCGCTTTCCCCACTCCTGTGCGTGGGGAGTGGTGTCACCGTCCACCACTGCCTTGGCTGGCTTGGCACTCAGGGAGGTGGGCAGGGAGGCTAGCAAGTCTGGGGCCAGGAAGAGGGAGCTGGGGGCCTGGCCGGGTGAGCCCTCAGCCAGCCCTGGAGTGACAGAGGCCCCTGTCCCAGGCTGGCCCTCCGCGTGCTGCACCTAGCCCAGAAGCAGTATGCGCTGCTCCAGGCCGCTGGCCTGCTCACCCCGGATCTGACCACGGAACTGGAGATGCTGCAGCAGCTGGTGCATGAAGCAGATGGTGATTCCAGTGCTGAGAGCTGCAGGACACCGGGCCTGGCTCAGGAGCTGTGTTCAGATTCCCGTGAGTGTCGCCCTGGGCAGCCTCCAGGCCTCCAGCCACATGGGTTAGGGCTCCTCCGGTCTGGGACCTGGCTCCTATTCTACATCTCTTCCCCTCTGCCCAGGGTCTCCAGGCCACTGCAGCCCTGTGACCCGGACCATGGCAAGGCGGCAGAGCAGCCTCTTGCACAACCTGGGGGTTCCCCCTGGGCCTGATGGCACCCCAGCCCCAGTGTCCCGACAGCCCACAGAGAAGAGGCGGAGACCAAGCCCCAGCGCGCCTGACAGTCCCCTGGCCCCAAGGCGGGAGGCCAAGCGCCAGCGCCAATCCTCCCTGCCCTGCCTGAGGCAGGAACGGCAGCCTGAGCCCTGCACCCCTGCAGGGGCCCGGGCCTCCCCAAGCTGCCGCTCCCCTCGCCCCTGCCCAGCCACTGTTATCAAACGCCGGGCACCCCTGGGCCCCTCGGCCCTGCAGAACTGCTCCACACGCCCAGCACTGCCCACGCTGGACCTCAACGCCACCTTCGACCTCTCAGAGGAACCTCCCTCCACACTCAGCCTCCAGGAGTTTGCCCCCCACGAGCGGCCTGGGCCCCGCCAAGCCTTTGTTGCCAGGTGGGTCCTACACTCTCCTGGCCAGGGATGAGGGTCAGCAAGGGAATGGAGGAGAGGGTATCAGACTCTTAGAGATGGCCATTTGCCACCTGCCCCCTGGGCCCAGAGTGTAGCATGCCATGTAGGCTGCGCTGCTAGGGCCCCGTGTGCCCGGCTCTGTGCAGATAGCCCAGAGCTGGGAGGCATAGCCCAGGCCCATCTGACCCTCAGCCTTGCCAAGGCCTGAGGCCCTGCCAGCTCTGTCCCCCAAGAAGCACATTTCTGCCGTGGAACCCCCAGGTGTCTCCTCACCCAGTGTCAAGGACAGGGTGGGGTCCTGAGAAGGTACGGGCATCCCACCTCCATGGCCAGGAGGGGCGGCAGCCAGCTGGGGACAGTCCAAGGCTGAGAGTAAGTGGCAGCCTGCCTGGACGCAGGCGGCCGTGGCCCCTGATCAGCTGTCGGTAGCTGGTACCGAGCGAGGCAAGCAGAGCCCAAGATGGGCTGAACTCCAGCTCCCAGGCATGGACCGGTGGTGGGATGTCCTCCAGATCGTGCTGTCACTCCACTGTCAGCCTGGTTGAGGGCCCACAGAGCCACCTTTTGGCAGGAAGGTGAGGAAGGGGCTGGTGCCATATCCACCCTGCGATCGGCCTCCCTCACCTGTCCTCCCCTGCAGCGGGCCAGCGGCCCTGTTCACTGCAAGGGGCCCCAAGCCCACGTCCTCCCTACCCGGGACCTCAGCCTGCAGGAGAAGGCGCCCAGCAAGGTGAGACCCGTGGTTGGGGAGGAAGGCACTCAGGGGCAGCAGGCACCAGGGTGGAGCTTGGCCCCTACCCCTGAGGCTCTCCCGGGAGAGTGAGGGGTCTTGTGAGCAGGACCAGGGCCCCTCGCCGTGCTGGCGTCACAGCCCCACCTGAGGGACACGTCCGGCATTCACGGGTCAGCCCAGCACTGGGACCGGCCCCCTCTTCTCAGCCTCCCCTCACTGGAGCCCCAGCCCGCCCCTTCCCTTGAGGCTCCTGTCTGGTGCCCCGACCCCGTGTGCCCCAGTCCCAGGTGTGGCTGTGACCATCTGCCCTCCTGCAGCTCCTGCGTGCCCCAGGGCCGCAGCCGCATCGCCCGCCTGCCCAGCAGCTCCTGGAAGAGGCCAGCGGGGGCCCTTGTGATCCCAGGTAACCGCCCTGGGGACCAGAGCAGGCAGGGATGGGCTGACTGGGAGGGGCTAGGAGGGTCCCTGCAGCGGGTGGAGACCGTGAGGAGTGTGGGCTGCTGAGCACCATCCTCCCCTCCCCACCCCGCTGCACCCCGCAGAGCAACCCTTGAGGCCGAAGACCCAGAAGAAGTTGGCTGGGGTTGGGAGGCTGCTGCCCACTGGGGACTGTGTCGCCCAGGTATCCTGACCCCTGTGCCGCCCCCCAGCCTGGGTGCTGGACGCCAGCACCTGCTCCTTGCCACCCTGTCCTGCTGATCCTGCTCCCGCCTCCTCCCTGGGGGTGACGCGCGGCCTCCCAGCACCTTCCTGAGCGAGTGTTAACAGGCAATTTTGAGGAGTGCAACCTGCCGTGCCCTCCCAGGCCCACGCCGTGCTGCAGTGCCCCCCCCACCTGCCCCCGCCGGGAGGCCCCTGGGGGCCTGGCGAGGTATCCTCAGCCCCCGCCTGGTGATGGTGGTGCCCTGACCCACAGAGGAGTCAGCGTTGTCGCCTGCACAGGGCTCACATCCGTGCACGTGCCACCCTAGCTGTAAATGGGGCGAACAGAGTTGCGCCCTGACCTGCCTCCAGTGCGCTTAAGAGTGGATGCAGGTGTACTTTCCCACAGCAATTAATAAACCGTCTCCAGCTGGCCGTGAGCCTGTGTTACGTACACAGAGGGCGACCCTTCCCTGGGCTGAATGAGCTGCCGAGCGCGGCCTCCCCACTGTGCGTGTGGCCTGGGTCAGGAAGTGGCCACTCTCAGAGTCTATCCCAGGCCGGAGCGGGCTCCACACTGAGGCCCCGCCTGGAGCCCAGACTGGACGTGGGGTGGACCTGTCCACACAGCTGCATTCTCCATGAAGAATTAGCAGTGTGAACACCATTACAGGAGCCTGGGTTTGACCTGCTTCTGAGAGCAAACGAGTAAGGGTTTTGGCACACGGCGGTTGTGCACGGTGGTGCTGCTGAGTGAGCGGTGACTGAGCTGTTTGCGAGAGCAGTCGCCTCTGCCTGGTGTGCAGCTCAGTCCTGACTGCCCCTCCTCAGAGGACCAGGAGCCCCGCACAGCCACGGCCACCTCAGCTGCACTGCAGAGGAGGTGAGTGGGGCAGAGGTGCCGGGTGAGATGCCAGGCTTAGGGCTGCCCTGCAATCAGCGCTCTGCAGCTGCAGCCCCCGGCAGCCTGGCCCAGCCCTGGCCCCCGAGGCCCATGGGGTGTGGGCAGGACGCAGACTGAGCCTCTTCCTGGGGCCCCAAAGAACCTCCTTGCTTGGCCATCACCACCCCCAGTGCAGGGGCAGCAGCAGGGGCATTGGGGGGGAGGGGCTGGCAGGAGAGGGTTGTGGGGCAGGGCAGCAGTCACCCTGACAGGCATGCTCCTGGCGGCCATTCACTCCACAAACGTCTGGCTCCAGGGTGCAGCCTCAGTGCTGACAGCCATGGCCTCCACTGTGGTGGGTTGCCGGCTGCTGGTGTCTGCGGGCTCTGGCCTGAGCTCTGCGGGGCGGCACAGCACGGCTGACTGTGCTGGAGACTCCAGGCTTGGGTGGTTCCTGCACGGCCACCACGAGACACGGCGACCCACCAATGCTCCCAGCCATCGGCCTAGCTAGGCCTCCCTGCGCGTGGGCTCAGACGTCCCCTCAGCTCCCCACTGCCCAGCCTGGGGCGAGTTTGCTCAATCCGTAGAACCTGGCTTGGTGCCAGGAGCTGGAAACAGCTCATTCCCTTCCCACAGGTGGGACGATACCTGTCCTGGCCACCTGAGTGGAGGCCAAGCCCCCGTGGGCGTGGACCCCTGCAGGATCAGGGACCCGGCTTCCTGAGTCCCCACACCCAGCCCTCAGCCCGGACCCCACGGAACTGCACCCTGGCCCAGGGTTCCTCTGTGCAGCCTCAAACTCGGTCTCGAGCCCGGCCCTGTCCCATATCCCCTGCGGCTCTGCCGCCTGTGGGCTTCCGGGTGGGCACCAGGTGGCATTCCCCTTCCCATGCATGGGACGAGGGACCTGGGGCGACAGCTGAAGATGGGGCAGGGGCCGGGGAACCCTGGGCCTTGCTCAGGGCCCCAGTCCACCCTGGGGGACGTGGGCTGGAAATGCCAGGCAGGGCCAGCGGGCTCCTCACCAGGGCCCTGCCAGTCCCTGTCTCACTGTCCCTTCCCAGGCGGTGGATGAGCCGGGAGCGTGGGAAGCAGTAAGACGGCCAGTCTCAGGGAGGAGGCTGAGTTTACTAACCCTGAGCTGCACCCTGGCCCTGTAGTCAGAAGGGGACTGGAGGTGACTCGCCATGCGACAGGGCCAGGGAAGGAGGGGGCGTCTCTGACCAGCAGGACCCCAGCAAGAGGCCTCACCCCAGGGTCTCAGGCCTCTGTCCTGAGGGAGGAGGGCCAGGGACGCTGACCCCGCCTGTCCCCAGCCACTGCCCTCAGTCCTGGCCACTCTGCCTGCTCCTTCCCTGGGAAGCCAAGAGGACACGGTGACCCTCACTCTGGGCCAAGCCCAGTCCAGGAGTCTGAACATCTGGCCTGAGAAGCACAGGGAAGTTGTGCAGAAGCTGTGAGGGTGGGCGTGGTGACACACCCTGCCATGTTAGCCACCTGGGAGGCTGGGGCAGGAGGATCCCCAGTTCAGGAGCCTGGGTAACTTAGCAAGACCAGAGAGAGAGATGCAGGGTGTTGGGGTGTAGCTCAGTGAGGAGCACTTTCCTAGCATGCAGGCAGCCTTGGGTTCTGTCCGAAGCACCGGAAAATGAATGAAGGGCACCTGCTGTGCCATTTTTACAGGCATTTTGGGGCAGGAGTGGCAGCGTCCCTGCCACAGGCGCAGACGTGGGGATTTGGGAGGCCCTGAGGTCGCCCACACTCAGCGCGGAAAAGCCAGGACCGCACTCCCCCTCCGAAAGGCTGTGCCAGGGTCTCGGATGGAGTCTGAGAATAAGGGACACTGGGCTGGGGCAACACCACAGCGGCTCGGACACCCCACCTGCCACTGTGCTCCTAGAAACTCAGGAGGCTGAGACAGGACAACCACAAGTTTGAGGCCAGCCTGGGCAACTTAGTAAGACCCCACCCCGTCTCAACATAAAAATATGAAAAGGGCTGGGAAAGCAGCTTAGTGCTCCCTGGTTCCATGCCCAGCGCGAGGAAGGAAAGGAAGTGGACAGAAGTTCAAGGGAGGGAGGAAAGAGCCACCTGCCAGGGAGGCCGCGTCTCCCCTGGAGTGTGGTGGCCTGGGCAGCGGAGCAGTGCCATCTAGTGACCACCGTGGGGCTCAGTCCCCTCCTCAGGGAGGGCCGTGGGTGCGGCCAAGGGGTCCACTGGGCAGCCTCTTCATCGCAGCCTGCTCATCACACCTGGTGCCAGGCACTGGGTAAGTGGCGGAGCGGTTGCTGGGGTAGAGCCGCTACGGTAGAGCCGGGGTGGTGGGGAAACACCAGGCCCCTGTGCGCGCTGAGGGCTGGTCATCCCAGGGCCTTGGGCTTTGCCCTGGAAGCAGGGGCCGCCTGGCAGGTTCTGGTGCGGGCAAGAGGCCCAGGGAGGTCCCACCTCAGAGTGAAGTGGGCCACGCTTGGCACCTATGTGCCGGGCCAGCAGCATGGCCGAGGAGGCCGGACATCAGCCTGGGCTTGGGGACAGCAGGGGCCAGGGGGTTGAGGCTGGGGCTGCCTGGTTGCACCCTGTGTCCGCCAGGCAGCCAGTAAGCACGGCAAGGCTGAGCGCGGCAGGGAGGCGGCAGCAGCGGACCGTGGGCCCGGTGACGGGTGCATCCCGGGAGGCCACACAGCTGTCACCGAGACAGCTACTGTGGATGCGGAAAGACGGTCACAGCAGATTGCTGAGCCAGGAAAGCAAATTGCAAAATAATTTCTACAGCCTGAGCCTATTTTGAAAAAAATTTTATAAGTTTAGAAAAAAATCTGGTAGTGTTTATCTCCATGTGGCAAAATTATAGATAATTAAATTCTTTTGTATTGCTTATCTGTATTTTCTGATTTTTCGTTACAATGAAGTAAAAAATAGCAAGGATGAGTTGGGGAAACCACGGTGGCTGAGTGTGTGTGAGGGCGGAACCGCGGTCCCTGTTCTCTCGGGAACCCCCCTCGGGCTCTCTCCTGGGGCCCCTGCAGGGCCTGGGGCGAAGGCTGCCGTCCTTGTCCCTCTCCCAGCCCACGCAGGGCCAAAGGTGAGGTTGCAGGTGGCCTCCTCCCGCTCCCTCCTCTCCAGGTCCAGGCCAGGCAGGAGCGGCTGGGCCGCAGCGCTCTGGGGTGGGGGCGGGCAGCCCCCGGCTCTCACTGAGCCCTGGCAGTGCTGGGCCGGCCGTGGGCCTCCTGGCGCCACCGGTGACTCAGCCTGGCACAGACACAATGGCCTGGGTGGGCGCACCGCCGGCTTCCCGTGGCCCCAGGCCCTCAGACCCATTCCGGGAAGAGCCAGAGTGGGGCTCACGGGTGCCCGCCTGATGTCACAGGGTCTTGGGATAAAAGTGCACATACACACACACACACACACACACACACACACACACACACCCACCCACCCACCCCCTGGGCGGCCCTGGCCTGTGGTGCCTGATTGTGGTGAACAAGGCCCCGTTCAGCAGTCCGGGGCAGAGCCGGGGGAGGCAGAGTGTGTGTATGTGTGTGGCGTCTGTCTGTGTGCTGTATACACGTGTGTACATGTGCGTGCGTCTCTGCTCAGACGCTGAGGGGCACAGGTGGCTGAGGTGCTGGTTGGGCCCTGAGATCATGGGGGTGGCAGAGCCCCCTGCACCCCCTGACCTCCTGCTCCCCTTGGATGGAGCAGCAGCTCCAGTTCCCAGAAACAGACTCCAGCCCAATGTCAGAACCAAGGGGAGTAGGAAGGCAGCCAGGGAAACCACACCACGGGACAGGTCCCCCGGCACTGCCAGGTCACTGGGAGCCGCCTTGTGGGCTGTCAGGGCCAGGCTTTGGGGGTGCAGAGAGGACCTGGTTCACCCCCACCCCAGCGGTCCAGGCTCAGCACGGAGCCCCACGGAAGGCAGAGAGAGCAGGAAAGGGGGGCGGGCACGGTCTGGGGCTCAGCAGGAAGCCAGGAATGTGTGTGTCCCTCACCAGACTCTGCCTCTGTGAGCGCTGAGGGGTGCCAAGTCAGACGACCCCTGGGTTTTGCCATCTACAGAGGGGAGCCAGCCGCAGTGGCACACACCCATAATCCTAGCTACTCAAGAGGCTGAGGCAGGAGGATTGCAAATGTGAGTCCAGTCTGGGCAACTTATTGAGATCTTGCCTCAAAATAAAGATTTAAAAAGGGGTAGGAGCCAGGCGTAGTAGCGTACATCTGTAATCCCAGCACTTGAGAGGCTGAGGCAGGAGAATCACCAGGGATTCAAGGCCAGCCTGGGCTTCATGGTGAGTTCAAGACTACCCTAAACTACACAGCGAGACCCTATCTCAAAAAAAAGAGGGGGTGGGTAAGTAGAGACACAACCCAGAGATAGAGCACCCTTGGGTTCAATTCCCAGTATAGCAAAACAAAATGAGGCAAGTCAGAGGTCACTGGGCCCGCTAGGGCCCAGTCTCTTGGAGAGAGTCTTCCTGCTGTGTGGTCCGGCCCAGCCCCAGCTCCCTGCCCCCTGCCAGGCCAGGGTTTGTGTTCGGGAAGCTCTGCCCCCGGGGACAGCAGCCCCATGGGCCTGGCCCGGACCCAGCCCCACCCCCTCAGGCCATGCCAGGGGCGTTGCTGGGCAGCCTGGGCATGGCCAGCCTGGCCTGGCCTCCATAAAGCCCTGGAAGCTTGGGGCCCGCGAGCCGGCGGGATGGAACGCAGACGCGTGTCCTCTGCCCGCCGCTCCTATGTCTCCTCAGAGACCCTGGTTGGGCGCCTGGGGGCCACGCGCCGCCTGGGTCCCAGCCCCCACCCAGCCGTGGCCTGGGTTCCTCCTCCAGTCCCTGCCCGGGTGGACTTCTCGCTGGCCGGGGCTCTCAACGCTGGCTTCAAGGAGACACGGGCCAGCGAGCGGGCCCAGATGATGGAGCTCAACGACCGCTTCGCCAGCTACATCGAGAAGGTCCGCTTCCTGGAGCAGCAGAACAAGGCGCTGGCCGCGGAGCTGAACCAGCTGCGGGCTGCAGAGCCCACCCGGCTGGCCGATGTCTACCAGGCCGAGCTGCGGGAGCTGCGGCTGCGGCTGGACCAGCTCACGGCTGGTAGCGCTCGGCTGGAGGTGGAGCGCGACAACCTGACCCAGGACCTGGGCACCCTGCAGCAGAAGTGAGGATGGTGGCGGGGGGCGGCCAGCAGCAGAGCCCAGGCCCCTCCTGGAGCCTGCCCCGCCCCAGCCGGGAGGCCCTGGGTGTGGCAACTGGCTGGGGTCCCCTCTCCTAAACCTGGGTATATAAGGCAGGTGGCAGGAGGAGAAGGTGGTGTCCCCGAGGAGCAAACAGCCAGGCTGGGTGCAGAATCAGCTGTCCCCGGGGAACCAGCCTCTGACCCTCCTCAAGCCACTTAGGTCTGCATGGCTGGGAGGCAGAGATAGAAATGAGACTGGGAAACCCCAGGGCATGGGCAGGTCCCCTCCTCCCTCTCCTCCTGCCACTCCCTGGCCAAGTCTCCAACAGCCACTCCAGGAAGACTGGGGTGGGGACCCGGGGTCCTCCAGAAAGCCTGGACCCAGGGACATGGGCACCTCCACGCCCTCCAGGCTCCAGGATGAAGCCACCCTGCGGCTGGAGGCGGAAAACAGCCTGGCCAGCTACAGACAGGTCGGGCAGCGAGGGGGCCGGCAGAGCAGCACGGGAGGGGCGAGGCTGGGGAGCTGGGCGGAGGGGTCGGGTTGGAGCAGCTGCAGCCTCTCCCACCCCAGGAGGCCGACGATGCCACGCTGGCCCGACTCGACCTGGAGAGGAAGATCGAGTCTCTGGAGGAAGAGATCCGGTTCCTGAGGAAGATCCATGAGGAGGTGAGGCCAGAACAGGGAAGGGAGGTATGAGGAGAGACTGGACAGAGAGACCCGGAGACAGAGACACAGAGACACAGAGACAGAGAGACCCAGAGACAGAGACAGAGAGACCCGGAGACAGAGACAGAGAGACACAGAGACAGAGACAGAGAGACCCGGAGACAGAGACAGAGACAGAGAGACCCGGAGACAGAGACAGAGAGACCCAGAGACAGACCAGGAGAGAGAAATCAGGGGAGAGGCGGGGTTGAAGGCAGGGAGCCCATCCCGAAGCAGCACTGGCCCCACTTGAGTGTGCAGAAGCAGGAGGCCTGTGGGCTGGGGATTTAGCTCAGTGAAACACCTGCCCGGCAAGCGCAAGGTCATGAGTTCAATCCCCGGTACTGGAAACCCCCCACCAAAAAAAAAAAAAAGAAGTCCAAGGCCTTGAGACGGCCTTTCCCATCATGTCAGCCCGCAAGGTGGGAGCCCTTCAGCACCTCATAGATGAGGAGCCCCAACCCCAGAGGGCAAAGGACATGCCAAGGTCACAGCATCAGCCTCTCAGGCTCCATCTGCCTCCATCACAGTGAGGGCCACTCAGAAACTAAAAGATCCCGCTGAGCTCTTGCTCAGACCCTGACTCCCCGGATGCCGTCACAGCTCGGGAGGTCACAGGTGCATGTCCGGCACTGCTCCCTCCTATCTGGCCTGGAGGACGAGGCCACCCGGCTCCCTGCGTCCCTTTGCCACACTGCGTGGAGAGGCGGAGGGGCAGAGGAGGGTGGATGCAGGGCTGAGATCCGGCTCCTTCTCCCTCCCATGCCAGGAGGTGCGGGAGCTCCAGGAGCAGCTGGCCAGGCAGCAGGTCCATGTGGAGGTGGACGTGGCCAAGCCTGACCTCACGGCAGCCCTGAGGGAGGTCCGTGCACAGTATGAGGCCGCGGCCTCTAGCAACATGCAGGAGGCAGAGGAGTGGTACCGCGCCAAGGTAGGGTGTGGCAGACGGGGGAGGGCCTCTCTAGGCTGCAACCTTCCCAGCTGAGGCCAGGAGCTTCACACTGGCCGGCCGGCACCAGCACAGCCCAGAGCACCCTCGTTCTCACGGCTGCCATAGCGGCCGTGAGCTGTCTTTAGCAGCTTGGCTGGCCAGGGCCCAGCCCTGGCTGAGTGGCCGTCTCCGTGATGCACTGCCCCGTGACAGGCGAGAACTGCAGCCCAGGAGGCTGGGTAGCCTGCCCACCGTCGCAGGCTTCCAAAGGGCAAACTGGGCTTTCAGCCCTAGAGCCTGAGTTCTCCACACCCCTGCCGTCCGAGTCCTGGCCACAGAACGGCTCCCGTGTGTCAGGGATGCTGAGGGCCACGGACCCGGGAGATGAGCCCTGGGTCATACACAGTGCCACTGGGACCTCACCGGGCAGGGTGACACCCAGGAGGGGCCAGGGCAGGTGGCGGCACTGGAGCTGGGCAGGGCCAGCAGCTACAGCCTGAGAAGATGAGGGGGCCTCAGGAAGGCCTGGCCCAGCACAGAGGTGGGACACAGGGCCCGTCTGCAGAGGGACAGCAACTCCCTGTGCCCAGCCCTGCGGCCCCCACCCAATGAGAGCCCCCATCCTCCCTGCCCAGTTCACCGACCTCACAGACGCGGCTGCCCGCAATGCCGAGCTGTTGCGCCAGGCCAAGCACGAGGCCAACGACTACCGCCGCCAGCTGCAGGCCCTGACCTGCGACCTGGAGTCCCTGCGGGGCACGGTGAGCCTCGGGGGCTGGGGACAGAGCAGGTGACTTGGCGCCCTGGGCCAGCGGAGGCCCTGAGGGACCACCAGCAACGCCTCTCCCCCCAGAACGAGTCCCTAGAGCGTCAGATGCGGGAGCAGGAGGAGCGCCATGCTCGAGAGGCATCCGGCTACCAGGAGGCGCTGGGCCGGCTGGAGGAGGAGAGCCGGAGCCTCAAGGAGGAGATGGCCCGGCACCTGCAGGAGTACCAGGAGCTGCTCAGCGTCAAGCTGGCCCTGGACATCGAGATCGCCACCTACCGGAAGCTGCTGGAGGGCGAGGAGAGCCGGTGAGCCCCGCCCACCTGAAGCTCACCGACCCGGCTGCCCAGGATCGGGTCACTCCAGACACTGGGGCTCCCCTGCCTCCCCAACTGCGCCAGTGCTTCCTGCGTCCCCTCCCTGGGAGCTGCAGGGGAAGCTGGGAGCAGGGCAGCCTGGGTGACCCTGGCCAGCCACTCACCCAGTCCTCTGTCTTCCAGAATCACCATTCCTGTGCAGACCTTCTCCAACCTGCAGATCCGAGGTCAGTGGCCGCCCTGGGGTGGGCGGTTTCCCATCCTGTCCAGGTCGGCCAGGGATGAGGAGGGCTGTCCTGGTGGCCTCACGACCAGCGCAGAGCCTGGCCACTGCAGAGTCCCAGCCCTGTGTCCCAGCCCTGCTTCCCAGGTGCTCCCTGGCAGGGCAGGGTGGGGCGCCCCCTGGGGTGGTTTGTGTTTCTGTTTCTTAACTGCTTGTCGCTGCAGGAGGCAAAGGCACCACAGAAGGGGAGGTGCACAAGGTCACCAGACACCTCAAAAGGCTCACCATGCACGTTATCCCAGTGCAGGGCCTGCCGAGCGTAGACACAGCCCCTGGTTCTCGGTTAGCGCCCTGGCAGCCGGGCGGGAGTGGGCCTTGCAGCCATCCTCCTGGTCCCCGTCCTCTCCTCCTGGGTGTCCCCTAGACACGCCCCTAGAGTTGTGCTTCCCAGGGGCCTCGGTGACCAGCCAGGAACTGCCCAGGGCCGGCTGTAGGGTCCCCTCGCAGGGCGGGTGGCTGTCAAAAGTGACCACCTGGCTGCCCAGGCGAGGGCTCAGGGCCACAAGCAAGCACCAGCCCGGCCCCTCCTGTCTCAGGGATGCCGGGGTCACCCTGGCCGGCTGCACTGCTCTGCCTACTGACCCGTCTGAGCCCGAGGCCCAGCCCGGCACTGCCTCAGCCCGGTGGGGTGCTTTGCTCTGGTGCTGCTCTTGCAGGAATAAAGCTTCCTGCCATTCTTAGCTGCGATGTCAGTGACAGTGGCGGCTCTCTGGCGGGGGATGGGGGGGTGGGTGCTAAATTATGTTTTATTGTTCTGTGGCCCTCAAATGGTGCTCAGGTAAGAGAAAAAAATCCCCCTTTGGGGCTGGAATATCCAGGAGGACTGGAGGCACAGGAGCCAGGACCTAGCGCAGGGCCAGGCCACAGCCAGCCAGGCAGGGCGACCCTGCCACGCGCTGGACCACTAGGAGTCACCAGGGGCAGGCGGGTGACAGAGAACGGATACTGAGCACCAGTACTGCGGGGCCTTACAGAGCTCGTCACACCTCACGTGCCCAGACAGATGTGCACGGCCACGCCCTGGCCATTGAGCAAAAGGGCTGGGTAGGGACACCGGGCTGGTGAGTGGTTGAGCGGGGACTCAAGCTCCTGTCCACTAGGTTTCTGTGCCACTGCTAGGCTGTCAGGAATCCGGGCACCAGGCCCGAGGGCAGCAGTCAAGGACAGCACAGGGGGGCCCAGATCCCCGCAAAAGCACAGGCCTCGAAGCTGCAAGCCGAGGCGGTTACGGGAGCCGGTCCAGGAGCAGCTGCCCATGGAGACCTCCTCTCTGCCCGCAGAGACCAGCCTGGACACCAAGTCCGTGTCCGAAGGCCACCTCAAGAGGAACATCGTGGTCAAGACAGTGGAGATGCGGGACGGGGAGGTGAGGGCCCCGCACCCGTCCCACCCCTTCCCCACGGCAAGGCTGGGCCCCCCTCCACCCTCAGGCTCCGGGCCAGCCTGGGCGTGCGACGGGCCGTGAGGCTGCGGAGAAGCCCGGGAGCGGGCGCCTGGTGCCTCTCCTCCAGCTGGGCGGCGGCCAGAGAAGGCGGCCCTTCCAGCACCAGTGTGCGTGTGCAGGTGGGGCTGCCAGCTCACTGGCAGCATGACCGTGGCTCCTCAGCTGCAGAGCCAGGCTGGTGGGGACCAGGGTCTGCATGAGCCCCTCATGGCCACATGGGCCTCCCTGTCACCCGCAGGTCATTAAGGAGTCCAAGCAGGAACACAAGGACGCCATGTGAGGCGAGGGCTGCAGAGGGAGGGAGGCCGGCAATCCACAGCTAAGCCCCACTAGGCTGGCCAGCCCCTCCTGCCTGCCTCCATGCCAGCTTCCCACTCGGTCACACTAGGCCTGCACCCAGCACCTAGCACCCTGCACCCAGCACCCAGCACCTAGAACTAACAGACGCACTTCCCAGGGGGTAGTTGGGTAAGGCCAGCAGCTTGGCTAGAAGTGGGCAGGCAGGGTACGTAGCAAGTCACATCTTGTTGTTATAGCAACTGTCACTAGAGCTAGGGGGAATCAGAGCTGCTGGGAGGGGCGTCCCCATTCAAGACCAGACGCTGCCCTTCTAGAATGGCCCTGGCCATCCAGGAACAGTGGACAGCACTGCTGCCATGGTGGTCATGGGACAGAGCCCTGGCCTATGGGGCCCGGGTGTGGGCCCAAGCTTCAGGCAGGGGTGGGACGTGGAAGCAGGGCTCCGGCACTGGGAGCACCGTTAAGTGGGAGGGGAAGGGTGCTGGGCAGGCGTGGGGCACTGCTGGCCCCAGGAGTAGGTTCAGAGAGGCCAAGCCCGGAGGGTGCCTGGCCAGGCCAGGGGCCGTGGGTAGGTGGTGAGAGCTGCTGTGGGGTCACGGGTGGGAGCTGAGGAAGTGACTCATCTGAGGGAAATGGAAGAGGGCCGCTGTCCCAGTGAGCCCTGCCCAGCTCTGAGGCTGTCCCGCTGCACGTCCTTGTTCCCTCCACCCCGGGCTCTGGTCGGGAAGGCCCCCACGAGCACCCCCGCTGAGCACTGCACACCCTCTCCCTCTGCACCAGTGCACCCATGGTACTTTAGCAGCGGCCTGCTCTATGGAGGGGCCGAGGCCCTCTATGCCCCTCCTCCCCTCTCCGCACCTGGCAGCTGCTTTTCCCTCCTGCTACCACTGCCGCCTGACCCTCACCTGCCCAGGAGAAATAAAGACCCTGCTGTGCCTTCTCTGTCTTCTGAGTGGTCTCTGGTCTGTTCCTGGGAGAGGCGGGGCCACAGCACAGCCCAGGCTGAGACCCCCAGGGTCCTGAGCCCCACCAGCAACCGCACCCCACACCCCCACCTACACCACTCAGCCCAGGGAAGGCCTGGATCTCCCTCTGCCCCTTGCTGGTCCCCTTCCCAGAGGACACTGGGAGGAAGCAAGGGAGGACTTGGCCCGCCCCACCCCACGCACCTCCTCCCTGCGACCCAGGCCCCCTCGGCAGTTCCAAAGGCACCAGCAGCCCCTGTGGGCACTGCAGAGTATTCGTTTATGTCCCCTTCTTGGGGCTGAGCATGACACAGGGACATGTGTGCTGGCTATGCCCCTTCCAGCCTTCTCCATGACCTCAAAGGCCTCAAGAGTGGCCCAGGGCCCAGATCGGCTGCAGACCACGAACCTGGGGAGCAGGTGGTGACTGAGCACCCCCACGTCCCACACACCACCCCGGCCCAGGCGCCCGCCAGAGACACGGGGTCCGGGCACCAGCACGCTGAGGAGCACGGGGTCTGCAGAGCCTGGGGCAGGGGACCTAGGGGCCCCAGTCGGGACAACAGAGGAACGAGGAGCAGCAGCATCGGCAGAGGTGGACGGTGACGAAGACGGCCGTGAGGAGCAGGTAGCCGAGCAGGGCGAGCTGCAGGGCAGAGCGGGTCTCAGGGTCTGAGAGCGAGGCTGGCTGGCGCCCCCGGGACAACACACCCAGCCGGATGCCGGCCACCCGCGCACCCTGGCGCCAGCAGTAGTAGGTGCCTCGGTCGCTCGGCTGGGCGGAGCGGATGTGCAGCTGGTGGCCGTGGTCGATGAACACCCGCGGGGACCGGCCAGCAGCCTTTAGGTACTGAGTGTGGTACAGGGGCTGGCGGTCCTTGTCCCAGGCCACCGCATGCTCCGGCCGGGCCCCGGGACAGGAGAGGACGAGCCCGTGGCCCAGTCTCTGCTGGTGGAACTGGATGGGCACCCGGGGAAGCCAGGGCTTGCTGCCCCGCCGGGCCACGTAGCTGTAGAGTGCGAGCACGCCCTCGCGGACCCGGCTCCGGTTGATGCATGGGACCTGGCAACTTCGCACCAGCAACTCGGGGGCATGGGCCAGGGCCATGGCACGATACCTCCTGGGCACAGCCCTAGAGCCACAGGACACCACGCCAGGTGGCGTCGTGTGGTAGCGTGGCGGGAGGTCCGGGCTCTGCAGGTAGCACAGCCCCAGGCGCCACTGCTCCCCGCGCACCCCACAGCGGTCACACGGCGTCCACTCCCAGAAGGTGGTGAAGATGCGGAGGCCTCCGTGCCGCTCGTCCACAGAGGGCTCCTGGCCCCTGTCCTCAAAGGTGGCCACCAGCCCCTCGCTGCTCTGGACATCCACATCATAGGCGTAGAAGTAGTCGCCCTGGCGGGTGCCGCAAAAATACAGGCCAGAGTCCTCCGGCTGTGCGCGGTGCACCAGCAGGCTGAACATGCGGATGCCGAAGCGGGCCAGCACATCGCTGCCCGTGCGCACCTGTGCCGCCTCCGACAGCAGCCGCCCGTCGAAGTCTGTGAGCACCTGGGTGTGGCCGCTGCCCAGGTGCTTCTGGTGGAACCAGACCACTGCGGGCACCTGCTCGGGCTTGCAGTGGCAAGGCAGCTCAAAGCTCATGTCAGCCAGGTAGGCAGCGTTGTCGAACATCAGGAAGGCAGGGCAGGGCGTCTTCTGGAAGATGTTCTCCTTCTCCATGACCTCAAAGGCCTCAAGAGTGGCCCAGGCCCACAGGAGAAGGGAGGCTCGGGCCCAACCCATGGCTCATGGGCGCCTGAGGGAGGGCAGCCTGAGGCTGGGATTGAGCGGCTTCCAGAAGTCGAGGTCTAGTGAGGAAAGCAATGTGTGCCCAGGAAAGAAGAAACCAACTTAGGGAAAGCAGCCAAAGCCCAGGCCCCTCCTGCCCAGCGGCTCACACGTCCCCGCGTTCCAGGCCTGGTCATTCTAGAACCGGCCCTGCTCACCTCTCAGAACACTGGTGCCAGCCAAGAATGGGCCGAGGCTCACAGAGTGGCCACAGGGCTCTGGGCTCCCGGGAGACTTCCCTCTCGCCACCTGGGAGGTGAGAGAAGCGGCCCTGCCCAGCACAGGGGACTTGGGCCAGACAGAAGCCAAAGGCCTGGGGCTGCCCCTAGGGGAAAACTCCGCACCTCAAAAGAAAGTAGCCTCAGGTTGTATCTGACCATGGCCTCAGGTTGTATCTTGGTTCAGAGCTACCTAGTAGAGGGAGGGGGTACTCCTTCCATGGTCCTTGGGGGACCTGTGCATCTATACAGTTCGAAATACCAAAGCTGCATGTGGTGGTACCTGTAATCCCTGCAACTCTGGGAGGCTGATGCAGGAAAATCAAAAGTTTGAGCCCAGTCTTGGCAACTTTGTGACCTAGTGAGACCCTGTCTCAAAATTAAAAAATAAAATTGAGACGTGCTGGGGGCACAGCTCAGTGCAAAGGTCCTGGGTTTGGCCCTTGGTACCAGAAAAATAAAAGGGGGACACAGAGGAACTAAGAGGTGGCAAGACTCAATTCCAGCTTTTGCTCTGAAGATTCTGAGTTGAGGAGGGAAGTGGGCAGAAACCCAAGCCACACCAAAGACGCTGCGCTGACGCCTGGGCCCCCGCCTCAGCGGAGCTGGTACAGCTCCCGCAGCTCCTGCAGCAGGTCCTGCTCCTGCTCTGCACCCCGCTGCTCCCCACTGAGCGCCTCCTGCCCAGCCCCGGCCCCAGGGGCACCCATGGCCTGCAGCTTCTCGAACAGGGCCCGGCAGCACTCAAGCTCCGAGGGGCTCAGCAGGCTCAGGTTCAGGGAGAAGCGCCCAGTGCCCGCCAGGCCTCGAAGGATGCCCAGCACCGCTGCCCGGTCGGCTGGCCTCATGTGATTGGCCAGGGTCGCCAGCAGCTCCCCGAGGAGTCCAAACCCCACGTCTGTCTGGAAGAGGCGGCCGAGCGTGGGACCCCCGAGCCGCAGCAGAGCCTGGTAGCGCTCTGGTCCACTCCGCAAGCGTCGCCGCCAGTCGCGGTAGAACTCTGCTGAGGTCCCAGGCTGGAAGGGCGTCTCCTCCTGCATCAGAGGAGGGAAAAGGGGCGCAGGGCTCGACTGGCTGCTCTGGTTCTGTTCTCTGAGCCTTGGGGAGACCACGGTTCACATGGGCCTCGGTGAGAGATGAAGGAACAAGGGAAGGGCCAGGGTGAGGGATCCAGGGTTCCAGGCTATGGTTTGCGGTCCTCCTACTCATGAGGGGGACACGGTGCTGGCCTTCGGTGTAAGTTGGGGTTTACTCTGAGAGGGGTGAAGGAGCGGACTGCATCCCGCAGGCAGTGAGTGTGTCAAGGTCCGGGCCGGTGGGGCCTCTTCCAGTACTGCGGCAGGAACGCTACACTGTCTGCCACCTGGCCCAAGGCAGGCAAATCTCATCAGAGAATCAAAGTCTGAGGACCTGCCCAGCCCCACTCCCGACTCTTCTGCCCCCACCCATCAGCCCTGCCCCGGGCCGGAGGCTTTTCTTTCCAGGCTAGAGGACAAATCCTGACTCTCGGGTTCTCTCCAGGAATAAAGGAGGTGTTCCTCCCAAGGAGACAGAGCTGGGGCTTCGGGATAGAGAATCCTGCTGGGCTAAAGAGTGGGTGGGGGGCCCTCGCCTGCCTCGGAGACTTCCACGGCCACGTCCTCCTGGAAGGTCTTCCTCCGAGTAGCGTGACAGTTCCAGGGCGCAGTTCTCTTTCCACTCATCTTGTCCTTCCGCTCCAGTGGCTTCAGATGTGACGCGAGCACGATACCCCTGTGGGCAAGGGACAGAGCCTGGAGGGTGAGTTTAACACTGGCTGTGGGTCTGGGGCAGCCAGAGTTTGCCTGATGTAGGCGGAACGCGGTGACAATAACAGCAGCAGGGACAGGTGGGAGCCTTCAGGCCCGTCCCATGTTCCAGACACTGCGCTCAGTCTGTCACTCACTCGCTGTAGTCACTCACTTAACTGCAACAGCAGCTACATCCCACAGACAAAGAGCTGAGGCCCAGAGACCAGGGAGCTTGCAGGAGATCACAAAGCAGCAGAGGGAGGGCCTGGGCAGAGGCCCACCGTGACTGACTCCTGAGTGCCTGCTGTCCACCCCCACTCACCCACCGGAAACGAGGCCCTGAGGAAAACAGCCAACCTGAAGTCTTCGTAGGACGGCACCCTCTGTGCCACAGCCCGGAACTTGGCAGCGTTCTCCCGCTTGTACTTCTCATCAGCAGCAAGTGCTGCCTGCAGCTCTTTCTCCAAAGCTTTGAAGTCGACCATGCTATTCTCCTCCATGGCGCATGCCTGGGCGGGCGAAGGGAGTGCACATTGATGGGGATTCAGCATCACAGACAAGAGGAGGCCTCCGGGCCGCCTGCCGGAGCACAGAACCAGCCCGTAGCACTCAGGCACCTGCCGTGGGCAGTGCTACAGAAATCCAGCTTTCTGCTCTGCAGACAGAAACTGAATTACAGAACGAGGACTTACATACCATCTGGCCTGGCTTTCAGGATAGGGCCCTGCCTTAGCTTTGTTCCACACCTCTGAAAATATTTTAGGGACTGGGGGTGCAACTCACTGGCAGAGTGCTCGCTTAGCGCGTGCAGCGCTCTAGGCAAAATAATCACAACAACGATAATTCCGGTGCTTCAGCTGAAGGCCATTTGGACTTCAGAATTCGGTTCCTTCTTCCACATCGCAAACTGTTGCCAAGAGGAACGCACACAGAAGCAGCACTTTCCTTAGGTAGCTGGTGCCCAGGAACACCACTTCAGCCTTAGGTGCCACTAATGGAGGACGGTACTTTCCACTCCGACAGAGGCAAGGGCCAAGCGGGAGACTCGGGAGCTGGGGGCAGAGCGAGGAGCGCCAGGACCCCCACCCCCAAGGCCTCTGATCAGCCCAGCCTGGAGGTGCAGGGGCCTCGGTAGCCCCGTTGGTTCCATCCCTGTGACTCCGCAGCCGCGGGGTCCCTGAGGCTGACTGGCCCTTTCTACAGGAAATCTCTATGGCTCTAGTCTAGGTGCCGGCACTTATTGACTTGTTGGGAGACCTCTCTGAACCTCAGACTCCTGGTGAGTGGAGCTAGGTTTTGTGGTTTAGTCATGCACAGCCCTAGGGCACGAGGTCCTGCAATCAATCCCCCAGCCATCCCTACCCCAGCTGAAGAAGTCAAAAGCCAAGAAGGCGGCAGGGCTGGCCAGCAACTGGACCCGGGTGTCTCGGCTCCTGTCCAGTTTCGGGCCCTTCCCAGTCATCGAATAAACAGAACAACACTTCCGTCCCCCTCACGCAGCCCCCAGGCCTTCACTCCAGCAGCCCCAGCCTTTTCTTTGGGGATCTCCCCCGCCCCGCCCCATACGTTAAGACCAGAGGGTAGCTCTGCTCATTCCACCGCCAGCGGCTGTGGTTGCCTAGCAACCGCTCCAACAGCCTGCCCACCTGACGGCCTAAAAGCCCTCTCTTAGGGTGGCCCCGAGACGCCTGATCAGATTCACGCACCCTCCGGTACAACTTTCTTTGACGCGTCCCACGCCTTCGTTTGGGGACCCACAACGCCACCTTTCAGTCCCTGTCTCCGCGACCAGCAATCTTCGGAGCCGGTCTTCAGGCAGGGGCTGGGCGGCAGCGGGGTCCTTCCTGACTGCCGGCGCAGGCGCAGGCTGGTCCTTCCCGACGCGGGCGCAGCGTCGTCGCGGCGTGGGGCGGAAGCGCGGTCTCTGGCGGCGGACTCCAGCGCTCGGGGGAGCAGGCGGGAGGTGAGCGGGTGCGGGTCGGTGGCGCGCGAGCCTTGCTCAGGGTGGAAGGGGAAATTAAGAGCCATCAGGCCTGGAAGAGGCGTTGTAGCCACCCCTTTCACTGCACAGATGGATAAATTGGGGCCCAGGGCGGGAAAGAATGAAACTCCCCACCCCGTGCACGCTGATCCGGGGGTTTCCTAGATACCGTCCCGCGTTGAAGTCCTGTGTCCGGGCGGGGTTGTGCCTAAGTGTCCGGTCCCGTCTCCCACTCGGTCATCCATCCGTGCCTTCTCTCTGCCAAGGGTGCTTTGAGCCCGCGATACAGCGGGAGGGTGCAGGTCTGTGAGCAAGAGACGCTCGTTGTGTTGGCAACTCGCTCTGTGCCGCGTTGGAGACGTTGATTCACTCGTCAGATACTTACCTGCTTTGTGCCAGGCACTGCTCTAAGGAAACAAAACAAAGTCTTTGCCCAAATTGTAGTTGGGAAAATGAACAATAAACTGATGAAGAAGTGCCTGTCGGCTGCTGATCAGTGTTCATCCGACCTGCAAATGGGGGCGGGTTGGCGAGTATGTGGGAGACTTCTTAGAGCGACGGAGAAGGTGGCATTTTAGTGAAGCCGTGGGTGAAATCAAGGTAACAAGGTGTAAGTACCGGCGGGTGGCAGGTGCGGTGGCCCTGAGTTAGAAATGGGCCTGTTTGCCAAACAGCCTTCTGCAGAAGTTTTATAGTCGCCCTGTGGAAGTCCTCAGGGAGGGAAAGAGCAGAGATGTGGTTTCTGCTTGGAAGTGAAAACAATCTCTAGACATAGGGAAGTTTCTATAATAATTTATGTTCAGTGACAAGTGCTTGGGGCTCTAATTTTCTGCAGCGCCATCAGCAGATGGCATTGAGGGAAGTGAAGGAATGAAATACCAGTTTTCCAAAATCAAGCCTTCCTTTCAGTTGACATTTACTCAGTTCCAGCTTATTCCAGGTGCTGTCTTGAGCACTGGCAGCAGAGTATGTGAAACTCAAGGTTTTTGTATCCCACCCTGACCAGAAATCATGCTAGCAAACACTGACTGGGCCTGGGGTGGGGGAGTTGCCAGATTCGTTGCAGGGAATACTTTACTTAATCTGCTAATTTTTTAAAAAATAGAGATGAAGTGTATTTGAAAAAGTAAAAGTGAAGAGTGAGGGAGAAACTAGGTCTGTAGTGCAGGCTTGGGCTGAATAAAAGAAAAAGCAAGATGAAAGTACACCCTGCAGGACACACCGGGTGGGCCGTTGTGAGGAGAGCCGTGTAGCCAACCGTCATAACTTTGTGTGCAGTGCGGACTGATCACTCCATCTCCCAGCTGTGTGGAGAGGGAAGTAAGTTGTCTGAAGCCACGCACTGCTAGTGATGAAGATACAATTTCAGTATTGGTCTTCCAACTCCACACGACTAATGTGTGGCCCGTCCTCCAGCCTGTTGTTCATTGCTTACAGACTGGAGTTGGTGAGGGTAAATAGTACAGTTCACTACTGTTCAGGAAAAAATACTGGTAAAGGTGCAAAAGGTTATAGCAGCATAGAAAAATGAGTAAGGACCTAGGAAAACTTGAAAGAGGTTGCATTTGAACTATTCCTGTGAGTGGGCATGGTGGCACAGGCCTGTCATCCCAGCACTTGGGAGGCTGAGGCAGGAGGATCACTGTGAGTTCAAGGCTGCCCTGGGCTACATAGCAAGTTGAAAAGCCAGTCTGAACTACGTAGTGAGACCCTGTCTCAAGAAAAACCAAAAGGCTATTCCTGTGAATGGGATTTCAGTAGTTGAAGTGGAGAAAATCCACAAAGTTAGTTAACTATACAGGGAAGATGAGTAACTATGCATCAAGGGGTCAAAGTCAGCCTCACCAGTTGTGGGACAAATTGAAATTGTGTACCCTCGACCTTCAGCCCCACAAGAAAGAAAACTAAGGAGCTATTCTAGATTGAAAGATTAGAGTTAACAACTATTTATAAATGCAAATGTGTGGTACAATTTTCTGATTTTGATGATTTTATTACGATTATGTAGAAGAATGTTGATTGAAAAAGACCTGGAAGAGAGTCAAGAGAGACTGGGAGGGACGGGGGAGAGTATGAGATTTCCGGGGTCAGCCGAGAGTTGCATGCGAAGAAGCAGTGTGTGAGGGACATGGTCACCAGAAGACTAGAAGGTGAAGGCATGTCTCTGGCTGTGGTGACCTTGCCAGCACTTAACTTTTCTCTCCTTGAATTTTAGCATCATGGACACTGACTTGTATGATGAATTTGGGAATTATATTGGACCAGAGCTTGATTCTGATGAAGATGATGATGAATTGGGCAGAGAGACTAAAGATCTTGATGAGGTAAGGCAGATACGCTGCTTTTTGCATTGGTTTAAAAAGGAATTGTCAGGTGTGGTGGTGCATGCCTGTAATCCCAGTATTCAGGAGGCTGAAGAGGCAGGGAGATTGTCGAGAGTTCAAGGCCAGCCTGAGCTACATAGCGAGACCCAGTCTTAAAAAACAAAACAGGGCTGGGGATATAGCTCAGCAGCACAAGGGCCTGCCTGGCAAGCACAAGGTCCTGCGTTTGATTCCCGGTACAAAAAAAAAAAAGACACCAAAACACAAAACAATGAAACAAAGAAGGAATGAAGCACCGTGTTCCCATAAGACCAGGTGTACATCTCTAACGTTGCCTTTTCACTTGTTGGTGTTACACTGCCACCAAAAAACTTAGCTACTGAAATTCCAAAAGAGGATTTAGAGTAGTTTCATAGATGAGCTGATTCTGTAAGCTGAGCTTAGATTTATCTGGTGGTAGTCTTACTTTGTCTAGAGTGTCTTTTGGCAGTCATGAATATTTCCTATTTGGACACGATGGTCAGCTTTTCCAAGTACATCTGTACTGGGAGCTCCCTCCCAAGAGCGGATTTTCAAAGATCGTAAGATCAGAGGGAAGGGTAGGTACCCAGACCTGCCTGATTCCCTTCAGAGGGCCGTGGAGAGTGAAGTCCAGAGTGATCTGAGGCTTGAGAAGGGCACCAGAGGTGGCTTTTATGTTTTTGTTTTATTTTTTTTAATCCCGCCTCACTGTGTACATGGGGAGGCTGAGGCTCAGGGAAGTGAAGTATCTTTTCCTAACCCTTGAACACAGTCAGGACTAACTCAGTTCCGATTGACTGACTGACTTTCAGTACTGGAGATGGAGTCCAGGGCCTCTTGCATGCTCTATGTGCCCTTTTTTATATATTTTTAAATTTTATTATATATATTTTTTGAGACAGGGTCTCATTGGGTAGTTCAGGCTGGCCTTGAACTCGCTATGTAGTTGAGGCAGGCCTCAAATGCATGGTGGTCCTCCTGCCTCAGCCCCCCGAGTGCTGGGATTACAGGTGTGCACCACCACACTCGGCCCTTTTTTATTTTTTGGGACAGGATTTGACTAAGTTGTGAAGTTCCCAGGCTGGCCTTGAACTTGGCATATTCCTGCCTCAGCTTCTATGTTTTTGCCATGTGTGTGCTGTGCACACTTTACCACTGAGCTGCACAGTCCCAGCACGACCTGTCTTTGATCTGAACAAGGCCTGGGGAGTCTTTTACTGATGCCAGCTTTTTTTGCTTCTTAAAAAATCTTCGTAAAGAAATATTTTTTGTTATGTAAGTAGTTCATGGGTAAGTTTCCTCACCTTCTGCAGCTTAACCACTGCAGCCCCTGCTGGCTCTGGGAAGAGTGTACGGCTCGGCGACTGCAGTTGGCTGGAGGACCCACTGATTGAATGACCCAGAGGGCTGATGAGTGGTCAGCCCAGAGCTCCATGGGGTCCTAGGCATCTGGGTCTGGGCTTGTCCTCTTCAGCTGTTTATCAGTGACTCTGAAAGACAGAGAAGGGAGATTCATAAAGCTAGTACATTAGCAAGCTCATTACTGGATAACAGAATCTGCATTCAGTGCGATCCCAACAAACCTGAATTCCAGGCTAAATAAACCCTGATCATTCACTCACTCATTCATTCTTCCTGGGACACTACTCTGCAGGAAGTTGGAACGAAGAGGGTGCCAGGGCACAGCCTCTGCCATTGGCTTCCTGCTTCCTGTGGAGACACAGTGCAAGAACATTGACAGTGCTCGACAAGGGAACAAGTGGCATTCAGGGGATGTGAACTCAGTACCACAGTGACAGTGGGAAAGGAGTTGGCCTGGCTGGGGTGACGGGGAAAGGTTTTTAAGGAGGTGACATTCCGAGTGGACCTGAGGAATGGATAGGTGTCTGTGGACAAAGTGAGTGGCCTGTGGTTGTGTGAGTCAGCCGTCCCCAGACTCTGGCCCCAGGGACTGGTTTCATGGAGGAGAATTTTCCACAGATAGGGTAGATGGTTTCAGGGTGACTCAACCCACTTGCATTTATTGTGCCCTTTTTCTGTTATTGTTACATTGCAGCATATAATGAAACAATTACACAGCTCTCCACAGTGCAGCCTCTGTGGTGTCCTGAGCTTGTTTTCCTGCAGGTAGTCAGCCCTGCCTCCTGTGGCAGGTGGACAGCGCCCTCAGCTGGTGGGAGACAGTGACGCCCGACAGGCGTGGCTATGTCCAGTCCACTCTTCAGTCTTCCTTGGCTGCTGTCTGCTGCTTCACCAGGATAGGATGCTGGCCATGGAGGCAGGCTTTTCTTTCTTTCTTTCTT